GTGCTGGATTTATACCACACTCTGTACAATCTGAAGAAATTCCGCGCGTATACAGAATTTGAAACATGAGCAAATATATAGAATATGCATTCAGTTTTCATAACAAAATAGGGCCAAATAAAGTTTCCTGCTTTTTGTGGAGCGATGTTGGTCACAGCAGGAAATCAAACTCAATTCATAGACCATATATAAACTAATAGGACTCTTTGAGTAGAACATTATCAAAAAAATTAATAGTTGGAAATACGAGATTGTTTACAATCGAAGCGGGCTTCAAGGAACGAAAAATTAATTTATCGAACATCGAATTTGGAAAGGTGGTTTAGGAATGTTTCACACACAATCACCACAATCATCTTCACCCTCAGAGAACCACGAACCAACCCTAATAAATGCACCAAAGATACAGCATAATTAGCCAAAGGTCCATAAACTAAAGTAGATGAGAGGTAGATTGGTGTGTTGAAAAAGGTTGCTAGGTAGTGTAGATTAGTAGGTACCTAGATAGGTATACATTTTATTATTCTGAACACAGCAGGACAACCTTTACGGTGTAATTCTATTGATGACTGAAAATATAAGAAATGGTTCCTTAGCTTATTTTAACAAGAAAAGTCCATATGAACATATGCCCTAAACCTCTCAACTTTCGAGATATAGGGTGTTAATTTTTTTATCATCGATATTGAATATTTCTTAATGTAAAAAACTGTCACGTTTATGATGAATACTTGTCAAAATAATACCGTAACGTATTCGATCAAACGTCATTATTGTGAATACAAAATAGGGCACCAGCCTACTAGTCCAAAATAATGTTGTTATACCACAAATGCACGAGAATGGTTTTTATTTTTTCACGCGAAAACAGTGCGTCGGACGGAAAAATTTTCAGAGGTCAAATTGTTGCAAAGTGAATGAGGACTTTCAAAATGATTTTTGTTCTTCAAAAAATTCGAGGTCGGACAATATTTTTTCAGAAAAATTTCCAGTATTCATCCAACACGGACGCCACTGGTAGAAAATATCAAAAAATCTCCTGCATCAAAATATATTCATTGATGGTGCTTATAATAGTAGGTACAATTTTTTGAAAATATCTCGAACAGTATTGAAGTTATGATAAGAAAACCAATATTATTTATCTTAAAATTTCAACACCCTATAGCTCAAAGGCGACCATATGTCCTCAATATATGTTTATATGAACTTGTCTTCTTAAAATTAGCCAAGGAACCATATCCTATATTTTTAGCCATCAATATTGAATTACACCCTGTATTTTCATCAGTAGTTTTCCGTTCACAACATACTAACATTTACACTTTTATAATTCATAATGGATGGCAATAATAAAACTATCACCATTCAGGAAAAAATGTAACCAGGAAATTGTTATGATCATTGATATTATTTTCGGAAAAACCTATCATTAAAAATAATACGTTTAGGTATTGTTCAATAACGGAATGGTGTTAGCACATTTCGAATAACATTTCTTGGAAATATGTGGTTTTAGAATTTGCATAACAAAATCTTTCCAAATAGTTTGTTTTGTTGTTGAAATAAAATACAGCTAATATAATATAGTGGTTACGAATTTCATCTGGCACATGTGATCGGAACCTGATAAAAAATGATGGTCGAACAAGTTTTTCCGGTAGGCGGTTAAAAATGCCACTTACTTTTATTCCTTTTGACTGCTGGCTGCGTTTTATCACATCCTGGCTTGACTGGGGACAAAGTCCCTGTTTTTTCCGCCTTGTATAACAATGGCTCGCTAGGCCCATTTTCCGTATCTTGTTCGCTGGTCATCTCGAATTCAGCACTCCAACAATCAGAAGACACTGCAAGAGTGATACTCGCACACTTGTGACTTGTGTTCGAACAGCTGATTTACAAATAAAAACTTATCATTGTCACTGGCGGCAAAAAAGCTTAGTGCTCCCGATAAAACGCGCCACTATGAACTATGCCAACTATATTCACAAATTAATATTGTTTTCATAATGCGAAAACAGCTGTCTGGCTTTTGGACAAATCACGACGATACTGGATCGAACACATGCCGTATCATATACGAAGGCCACAATCATTTAATTGCTGCATTCGTGGTATATATTTCACTCTTCTATCTTCTATTGTATCCCAGTATTACCTATTTGAGCGCTATAACGTCGGCTATAACGTCGCTGGTTTCGAAAAATTACGCAAACACGGCTTGTCTTATCTGAAATTGTAAATTGTTTTCATTAAACATGAATTATTTACCATATTGCTCCGACTGAAATGTTATAATAAAGAAAATAATTCTTTCTCGTCAAGATATCTACACAATGCTAGACATCTAGAGGCAGATGTCCATTTTATCTCAGACATTTAAAAATACAATCATATGATTTTACTTACATTGCTTCCCTTTCATGTTCTCCCACTTTTCAATTTCATAAAAAAATAATATAAGTGAGCTAGATTTTAAATCATTATTGGAGTCGACCGCATTAAAAAATAATAATTATTTGTTATTATTAATAATATTATACCTATATCAATAATTTCTTTTGGAACATTTACATATCAATTTCTCTGAAATATTCCTATAACTATTATATTTTTCCAAAAACCAGAATAACAGTATAGAAGGTCGTATAGATATATTTTTTTCTAAATGTACACTGTGTCCCAGATATTGCTATTTCAATTTCAACAACAATAAAGTATATATATATACCTACTTCAAAACAAATCAACAATCAAACAATCACTTTCGAAATACAGAGTGTTAGAGTAAGGAGTTGACAATAACAATAATGCAATATTCTAGTAATAACTCTTTTTACGTCAGTTGGATGACCAAACCAAAGTGACGTCAGGAGTTGACGTCGTATGACGTGATAAATGACGTGAATAAGTCACAGTCCAATGACGTCATATTACTCACGTTTTTTGACGTCATTCACTCACCAAACTGTGACGTCGGACCTACGTCGAAATTCATTCAAATTTGGTGATGATACACGTAAAAAAATGTCCCCAAACATATGGTGTGATAATAAACACCACTGACATTTGATGACATATGTATAATACAGGGTGTCTGTAAAATTACCTCGGTCCAAAGTTGCATCGTTTGGGCTCCAGAGGGCCTTGAAGCTATTATTTTTAAATCGTTTTTTCCATTTAAATTTTGAACGGCATATGCGATTTTGCTGAAATTTGGTATATTGACAGAATTTTGGGTGACAAAAAAATGGTGCTGAAATTTTGTCCGATAATAATACATAGGCGTAGAACTTAATTTTTCAAATAATTGCACCTTTAAAAATTCTACGCCAATGGAAGAAAAGGAGTTTGAGTATGAAATTTAGATTGCACAACTCATACACTTTAAAAAAGGTACTCTTGATAAGACTCGATTGCTCTTATGTTTTGACGAAATTTGCATTTTAGTAATTTTAGAACATAAAAAATAATTATTAAAATACAAACTTTGTCAAAACCATGAGAGTAAATCGAGCGTTATCAAGGGTACTTTTTTGTAGTAAATGAGTACCCAATCCAAATTTCATAGTCAAACCCCTTTTCTGCCTTTGGCGTAGAACTTGATTTTTTAAATAATTGCACCTTTAAAAATTCTACGCCAATGGCAGAGGGGTTTGACTATGAAATTTGGAAGAACCAAAATGTTTTTCGCGGAAATTGTGAAATGTGGGTTATCATATGAAAATATCCTGTGAAATTTTTTTAATGAAATCAAATGGTGTTTGTATATATAAGAATCCGCCTATGTGTTTCCAAGGTGGTCGTATTTAAACTGCTTTATGATTGTGAGTCCCATATACCAATCATAAACTGCTGTCTATAATGGACTATTTCAATCAACTGCTGGAATTGCCAATTAAGAAGTCGTTTTTCAAGCAATCAAGTGTTTAGTGAGCATGATGGTGGTCTTTTACTGCTTATTTCCGATGGCAACTTATAATTGATGAATTGGTATTTCCTTGTACTTTCTAAATTTTCTGTTTTTAAAAAATCTTATATTTTATATCCACATGCTTATCCATAACTATTATTATTTTCTGTTCTTACCTATGCTTATATGTTGCAATGGTAGGTTTATTTTTTCCTTGCTGGAATTTAACATAAACATAACACTAAATAAATCACAGTGGGAGTAGTAAGTACATAAGTGAATTATGTCAGTAATATACCTGTATATAGTGTAGGAATGATAATAATAGGCTGACCAAATTAATAAGATGAGGAGCAGCTTATGAAATAAATATAGAATGTACTTATATTTTGAAAAAAAGAATACTTTCCAGTAGTGTCTTCTTATTTGTCAAGAATTTCAACCTATGTTGCATATCAAGAAAATTTACTCATTTTCTTAAATATAAACAAAAATTTCTAGATAATATAAATAATTCATTAATACTAATAAGTCTGTAACTACCCAATATGTATCAGAACTAAAAGACATCATTATTGAAAACATGATTTAATAAATATCTCTGAAGTGTGGTATACATATTTTGAGTATACAATAGTAAAGTTCACTTCATACAAAAAATACATTTTGGGAGGAACAGATGTATATATTTTCCAAAATAATTAAATGAACACTTAGGAGTTTGAGAGAGGAAAGTTTATTGCCAATAGGCATGAAAAATAAGGGTTACTTTGATATTTTCAAAGTCATCTTGAAATGATCAAAAGAAAGGAACTACACAGACAAAAAAAAAATAACATGGTAACTCATTTCTGTCAGTTGGAAGTATACCTACTCAGTTTTGACAAAAATATTATTGGAAGTTACTGTTATACTTGTAGTAGATAATTTTTGAATTTGTGAATAGAAACAGTATATTACCTACAAAACATGAACATTTATTTCTGGAAATCCAAATATCTAAATCCTCAGTTGACTTCTGTGTATATCTAATAGATAACAAAAACATATAGGTATTATGTGTTCCAAAAATACTTTCTTTACACTTTCACTCAAATTTTTTGGTACCTTTGGGTTTCCATGCTGTCAATAGGTTCCATGCAAAATACATGGAAAATAAGTGAACTTGAATGGCTAAGAGTATAAATGCATAACACAACATTCCATAGGGGTAACCCTGAAATGAAATGAAACTTTGAAACTTCATATGAACTTGCATCAATTTTCATTTCCTTATCATACCTGCCATAGGTGAATTTCTTCTAGTTCCTCCTCTTCCTCAAATGTCAGATATGTCCACACATCTGGAAAGTAATATATTACAGCATAAAGTAGTGGCAGGAAACCAAATATTGTAAGGCCCATCATATAGTTTCTCATGGGGGCAACTCTGTTCTTCTTAATTGCATCCAAACCTAAGAATGATAACAGAAGACTGATGCACCATATGTATTCCCACCATAATGGCTACAAATAAAAATAGTCCAAAGCATGGTATATCGAAAGTTGAGATGATCTCACCTTAGGAATGTCAAGTTCTTCAATTTCTAATATAAATATGTCTAGTTTATCTAATATATCAGCAGAGAGCTTCGCCAACATTGCAAAAAACAGCAGATAATGAAAGAATATACAGTATTTGAGTCTTGATTTATTTAGAGCGCTAAAACAAAAGGTGATTAGCATCTATTGTAAATGGTATTTGATTTTTATAAGGTCTTGGCACTAACTCAATGTAGTTGGCAAGGAAATATTATAAATTATAGGTTATAATTTTTACCTTATTTGATAATGACTGGCCACCCGTTGTCTGTGAGCATATTCCGACCCGTCAGTACCGAGTGGGGTATAATACAACCCCTTCGTAGCCATTTTCACTTGATTTTCATAAAAACTGCTGGAATTCTGGAATGAAATCTGGCTTAAAAATATTTCAAGATATTTTTGAATGGAGCATAACTACCTTGAAAATTTCTGGGAACGTGAAGTGCGTGGAACCAAAAGAAACAGAATTGTCACATGTCACAGGTCACAACACAAGTCAAATCATTGATTATAGGTCTGTTCGTTTGTATTGCTAAACTTGCTAAAGTTGATTTTTTTCCCATAGCTGTCTCTGTTTACGGCATGTTGTAACAAAGAAAGTCAGCAGGTAGAGCAAGGACAAACGAACAGGCCTGAAATAAACCTCAAATCAGTCAAATCCATAGAACCTCTGAATCTCAGTGCTAAAGAAACACTGAAAATTGTGAATGTGGTAATATAGACAGATTGTGGCAAGAAGATAAGAGAAGAACAAGACGGAATTTTTTGTTTATTTTCTGAAAACTGTCAGCAAAGTGTCAAAACGTCAAAACAGAAGGAAAAGTGAAAACTAAAAATTGAAATATCTTGATAATATATAAATATAAATTATATATTTTGTACTCCTTTCGATTTGCTTTTGTGCTTTGTAGTTTGTAGCTTTTGTTTTATTTATTCTCTCATTCCCCATACAAGTAGAGGCAGCCCCACGGCAGGCCTACTAGAAGGCCCCCCCAAAAAGTTTTGATGATGGCAGTAACAGTCAAGGAAATATGCGACAATATTAAACTTGCGAGAGAAATGGGAATGCTTGGTAATTACGAAAATGCTGAAGTTTATTATGAAGGCTCTCTACAAATGATAACCAGGCTCATTTCAATGATTCCAGAACCAATAAGAAAAAACAAATGGCAGCAGGTAAAAGGAATGGGGTTATCAAATTTAATCATTTTGATACTATTCTAATTTTAAAGGTTCAAAAAATTGTGAATACAGAGTATGATCAGATCAAAGTAATGAAAACAATGCTGCAAACACTGAGGCTAGAAACAAGCATAGAAGTTCCAATTGGTGCTAGGAGGAGGGATGAGCCTGTGAGAGATTTTGGGGGTATTCTCAGTCTGGATTCATCCATTCCAACAGATCCTGATGTCTGGCCTCCACCAACCCCTGTTGACCATAGGTATGTTACCAACCACAGAGAATTCTTTGAAATAATTTAATTTTTCAGTATCAATCCTAATAAATCCAGAACTTCAAATGTGCGCAAGTTGGATCTGAAGAAGACAACATCAACAAGAGCAAGCTCTTCCAATACATCAAGAAGATCTGAGGTTAACCGCATGACAAAACCAGTTAAGAGGGAAGATAGACCATCTTCTTCAAGATCTGAAAAAAATTTAGAAAACAGCAAACCTGAGAAGGACAATAAAGATACTGAAAATGCAGATAAAACTGTAAAAAGTGAATCAGAAGAGGAGAAGAAATTTGAATGTCATGGAATGGAAAGAGAATTAGCTGACACTCTGGAAAGGGATATTGTTCAAAAAAATCCCAATATCCATTGGGATGACATAGCTGATCTACATGAAGCAAAGAGGCTGCTGGAAGAAGCTGTTGTATTACCTATGTGGATGCCAGATTTTTTCAAAGGTAATGAAGTTTGTGCCCCTGAATAAACATCACATATGAATCATAAATGATATTCATCCAACATTATCACAATTAATTATCAGGTATAAGAAGACCATGGAAAGGGGTACTTATGGTTGGTCCTCCAGGTACAGGCAAGACTATGTTGGCCAAAGCTGTGGCTACTGAATGTGGAACTACTTTCTTTAATGTGTCATCTTCAACATTGACCTCAAAATACAGAGGTGAATCAGAGAAAATGGTCCGGTTACTTTTTGAAATGGTGAGATAACCTGTTGAGACAATAAAGATATTGAGTTATGACAAACCTAATTTCTCTGTGGGGTAGTGTATATTAGTTAAGACCTAATTATGTTATGAGGTCTGTTCAATTTGTGTTCTTAATTTTGTGGGATAATTTGTACTGGACTTTTTCTACTAACTAAAACTGTTGTACTAACTATTTTAGTGTAGACAGTATAATGGGTCATAGGACTTATAATAATGAATTATTGGCATTCAATTACTCCACTGTGTCATTAGGGACCTACATTAATTTTTGCAGCACTTCTCACACTTTTTTTATGTAAATAATAAGTGTGTGTGTGTTGTTCAAAATTGTTGACTTTCAGACCTCATTTCAAATGTACTCTCATGGCCACCATTTGGCAAACAAACGGTGACGTCAGCTCTTATGCTGTTTCCTTATTGGTCAGATAATCTTTCATTTCCACTCACGATGCAAAGTTGTCAAGTCACTAATTTTAATTGAGTTATCCAAAAGATGTAAGAGTCCTGTCGTTGTATAAAACATAATAGGAGGAACCTGTGATATTATAGTTTCTTTCACTCCATAACAAATTATAATGTAAATGTTGGAGACTTGGCAACATTGTGCTGAATGCTGGGAAGGGACAAGAACACGCCCACAAGTCAGGCGCGCCATGTTGTCACGTTCACCGCTTCAAATGTCCTCTAGTGTTTATAATATGTTGTATATATAATATAATTACTATTTACACAAATATAAGCAATAAGCCACAAATCATAAGGGAACATTTTGAGACAATTGATTTTGTATTGCTATATAGGAATATTGGAATATTACCAATACATAATTGGGAATTTATGAATGTTTGAATAACTAATGGTGGATTTATGCAACATTTGCATAGTCCTAATCATAGTCTTAGTCATAATTTTAAGCATAACTAGAAGTTGAAACAAGGTACTTTACACACCAATGTTAGTCTTAAGCATAAGCACAAGCCTAAGAAATGACCTCGAAAGTTGATTAATTTGAACTTTTATGCTTATTTTATGTGGATTCGGCGCATGCTTGTTGATAATTTGTTGTTTGCATGTTCCGAAAATAATATTATGAGAAAGCTCAGATGTTGATGAGTTTGATAGATAATTTTCCTCATCTCTGATACAAGAAGAACCACAAATTCTCACATCACCCTTCTGATTGAATCAAGTTTTAATGTTTCTGGATAAATACATCGAATATTTAAGACAAAAATTAATACTAAGACTATGCTTAGAACTAAGACTAGGACTATGCAAATGTTGCATAAATCCGCCATAATATGTCTGGAGTTCCCAATCCTATTTAAACAAAATAAATGGCAACTGTGCTATGGTCTGCCCCTACTTACTAAATCGTAAAAGTTTTTACTCGCGGTAAATTGCTATCCGTTCGATGATGAATTTAGCAACTAAAAATCGTCCGAAAAACCCAAAAAAAAAAAAAAAAAGAAATTGCAAGGTATTCCAGTGATGATTCTATTTAAGAAATAAAAAAGAATTAGTCCACTGGCCTTTTATTATAAATCAACTTTGTTATTCTTACTGAAGATTTTTATACTACTATCGGAGCAAAACGTGTTTTTATCATTATTTATGGCACTAACCTTTGAGTGAATTTATGATTTAACAATATCAACAATCAATGTTTTTCTTTAAAAATGCCTTCATTTCATGTTGTCTTCTCCATACTTTCAGGCGCGTTTCTATGCTCCCAGTACAATATTCATAGACGAAATAGATTCCTTGTGCTCACGAAGAGGCTCAGAGTCGGAACATGAAGCTTCTAGGAGAGTCAAGTCCGAGCTTCTCGTCCAAATGGACGGCATAACTGCCAACAACGACGAACCTGGTAAAGTCGTTATGGTACTTGCAGCAACAAACTTCCCATGGGACATTGATGAGGCACTGAGACGTAGATTAGAGAAGCGTATCTATATCCCATTGCCCACGCTGGAGGGACGAGAAGCCTTGCTGAAAATCAATTTGAGAGAGGTCAAATTGGACCCGGATATTAATCTTTCTGGGATTGCCAGGAAACTGGATGGGTATTCAGGGGCTGATATCACAAATGTTTGTCGTGACGCCTCAATGATGTCAATGAGAAGGAAAATTTGTGGTTTGAGGCCCGATCAGATAAGACAGCTGCCAAAGGAGGAGCTGGATCTTCCAGTTACAATGACCGATTTTGAAGAAGCTTTGGTGAAGAATAATAAGAGTGTTAGCAAAGAGGATTTGGATAAATATGTGAGATGGATGAATGAGTTTGGGTCTTCATGATTTGGGTTATAGTGTGTTGGGAGTTTTTGTTTGATGGAGAGGTAGTGGGAGATGAATAGTTTCAGTATTATTACAGGGTGTGTTGTATAGGATTCTTTTGCCAACAATCTTTTGAAAATTTAGAACAAGGTGATTAAACATTACATTGTATTTCGGGAACTATTTGAATTATAAAAATTTTGGTTCCCAATAGTATTTAGCACATTTCCATACATTCTCTCTATCTCAATTTCCCAGATAAAATGTTGACTATCAAACTCTCAGTTGATTCACTATTTGATTTGATTTTATCAGTGTTTTAAGGGATCTAAATAATGAATGTATCTTTCAAACCCAAACCAAGGTTTCCATAATTATCATGCACTCTAAACTTCAGTTTATTGAGTATACTCACATTGTATTATTGTTTTCTGGTATAAAACATAAATAGCCAGAAGACTTGTAGGAGCAGATTGAAAAAGGTCTTGAAGATAATACTGTGACCATTTTTGTGCTTGAAATCATACTATTATTAATATACAAACCTAAGAGTCTAATTTCAAAATGATAAAAGTATTTTTTTACTCTAAAACGTTGAAATTTTTACATTAATGTATACTACAGGGTAATCCATAAATGTTTTTTATATCGTATCCTAAAATGCACCTCTTAAAAGCTACAGCAAACTCAGAAAATGTATTGAAAAAAGTCGATAATTTTATTTGGTGACTACAGATATATAAATTAAATCTCTGGAAATTTTGAAAATCATTGTTCCTAATTTAAGGAGTGGTTGAAGTTCATAGGAAGTGCATTTGAGGGTACACCTGTTTATAGAAAATACCTCACCCTCAAAAGTTTACCTTCAATATCTTGTAGTGAACAGAGATAAATTTATCTCTGTAGTGAATTTTGAAATAATCTGTGAATCTTGACAATATCATCAATATGAGATGAATCATTTTCAGCTCTAATCTTGAGTCAAAATTATGTCATATTTTCAGGAATAATATTTCAGAATAGTGGATACATATATAGTTAGCTATTGGTATATTTCAAGAATACCCTAACCATTTGATTAATTTTATGTTATTTATAATATACCCTTTCATCTAATTTCATTTTCGTAAGCTTTGTTTTTTTCTAGGTGTTAATAGCCAATTTTACAATCTACTTCACTTGTTGATGATGTTTTATGTACAAAATGTTGTATTTTTTTACATGAATTGCTCATACCTACTTGAAAGCCTATAAAATTACATTTTGGGTAATTTCAAATTTTATTTATTTATTAATTATTCATGTTATTCATAATGATTTTTATTGCTTATTGTTTTTATGATATTAAAACTTTTAATTCATGTTCACCTATTTATTTATTCCCAAGTCTTTTCAAAACATTCAGTGACGTGCTGGTTGCATATGTTCATTCAAGTTCATGACCAAAAATCATTCACCTGAATATAGGTCATTTAAAAATATAAATATTTTGATACGTTAGCAATAATATATTTTACATCAACACAGTAATGGGTAAACAGGATGTTCGAGAAATTGACTTCATAAAAAAATATAAATGATCACTTGCAGAGGTATTTTTCTATGAGCGAGTTAAAGACAAACTTCACTTTTGGATATTGTTCTCCAACTTACCGTCCACAATATCTTTTAAACTCCTCTCAAAGGTCATCTCTGAAATCACATTTGATAAAAATACTCATTTATATCATTATTTCACTGGGCTATACTGTATGAGTATTCTCATTAGTATAGTAATTTGTTCATGCTATAATCTTTCACTGATGATAATATTGTATTTTTCAAGGACCACATTTCAGGATATAATTACCAACACATGTAAATTCATTGATGGTGACACAAGGATTATTGATTAACCAGCTTTTATACTTATTTTCTTGTTGACTGGGTTAGTACGCGCAGAGATTATAGGCGTATATTCGAGATTTATGTGACGAGATAAAATAAATTTAATGCAGTGCTTAGGAATTCAAATTTCCCGCCGGCATGGCCTCCTGTGAAAAATACGCGCGATTGCATTTGTCCGCCACGAATCAGCGCCACAGTGGCGTAATATCAAGCAGATGGATAAATAGTTCTCAGAAATTTCAATTTATTTTTCGCGAAACTGTGGCGAAAATTGAAAAATAATATGCCGAAATGCTGTGCGAAGTGTTGGCCAATTTAATGAAAGATGATATGGGAACATAGTATACGAGTAATGGCCGAAGTACGAGGTAAAACGTTGGCGTAGGAATCGGACCTCTACCCATAACCGCCATAACCTCCATTCGTGTTATTGGAGTAGATACGGAATTAAGTTGTGTGTCAGATGTGCCTATTATTTGGGATAATTCGATAAGTTTTGCGGCGTTTCTTATTTTCAGCATATCGAGGACGACCTAGTGAATAATCTATTATGTGTTTGAAAGGACTGGGGTGCAAATTGAGCGACCGAAATGAAGAAAAGCTTCCGTTGTTGACTATAACGGCGGGGTGTTGGCAACGATCGGCCGTGCTAGATCGCAGCCGTTTTTCTTAACATGGCTGCAACGCAGGCCGAAAACCAACAAAATGACGTGAATAGTGAGAAAGTGCAATCGGATCAGCATCTGAACGTGCGGAATTCCTTGTTGCAAAATGGGACCGATAAGAGTGGTTTTCGCGGAGGTGGCAGTGTAGGGCATACAAAGGCGAAAAACCAAAATATCGCTCTGGAAATGAGTCAATACCGACAGGACGGGCCCGGGAGCGGCCCGACGGGGGCACCCGGCCCCTCCGTGTCCGAATCCCCTCACGCGCAGACCGACTCCGAACCGTCTTCGGGCTCCGGGCCCCCCGGCAACGCGCAAGAATACCACGGCGAGGGGCTGCCGCCTCCGCTGCCGGCCCCGGACGGCCACCCCTACGGATATCAGTACTCCAGAGACCTCTCGGCCCCCTCATCCGAGGGGGGCATTCACGCGTTCGGGCCGCGCCAGCCGTTCGGGGCCCCCAAGCAGCTGCCCCCGCAGCCCCATCAGCGGTTCGTGGCGACGGGGCCGCCTTCGGGGCCAACTCCTACCCTCAACCAGCTGCTGCAGAGCAACAACTCCATGCCGCATCGGTACCCGAACAGCTACGGCCACCCGGAGCAGCCCTACGGGCAGCCCTGGCCGCCGCAGAAGCCCCTGCAGCAGGGGTATCCTGGCGGGCCCCCGGGGGGACAGGGGCCGCCTCCGAGTGGGGCGCAGCCTGGCCCCGCGTACAGGACGCAGCCGACGGTAAGTGACTATGAACCATACAGCACATGTTTGGTTCAGCAGATATTGCAGGGACATGGTCCAGACAGATCTGACATATTTTTGTTTCAATGCAAAACATTGGGGCAACATTCCAGGAATAATGCAAACATATCTTAAAGTCCACTTTAAAATGTACCATGTGATTTAATTGTGCCAAAATACTAAAGGAGTGATATTGGTGAAACCAATAAACAATGTGCTCTCTTGATATAGGTTCATTCTTCATCCTGTATTCAAAGTCTCCTGTATTCAATGTCATGAATGACATTTAGGTCAGGTCAAGTTGCTGCAACATTTCTTTGAAAATGCATGTACAATATTGTATGATTTATCCAAGATCCAAGAAGCATCAATGAACCTACCTATGTGATATTTGACTATATATGCCAGACATCAAATTAAACATTAGTAATTCATCAATAGACCCTAATATTAATAGTAACATTGCAGCATCATTTCTAAATATAGAAATTGCCATGTACAAATAGGAATTTTCTGCAACATTTCTAGAAGACTGCAAATGTAATTGCAATTTTGCAAAATTGTAATATTTGCTGAATATTTTGTGCTGTGTGTGAATCATCCATCCTGGTACACGAGGCCGCCTCCTAGACTGTACCTGCTTGGCAGGAGGAGGCCACGTGTCCCGCTTTTTTCATTTTCTCCCCTCACATTAGTGGTCTCCTCTAGCTAGAAACCCATCCGGATTTTTGTTTTATTATCTTTATCGCTATACCCGCTATACCCCTCGCTTTGCTTTGGCCTTGAACTTGTTGGCAATCGTTTACCTTACACTTTGTTATTGTGCAATCAGCTGATTCCTCGCATTGTGACTATCATTTCCTCTGCCACCCACATCCCACATGAATCCCTTTACCTAGTCCCCTACGCTTTCACGCTTATTGCGTACTCCCGCTTTGTACATTTTACTTTTCCACCTGTCCTTGGTTCAGCAACACTTGCTGGTAAATGTCACCCTTGACTCAGTTTCCTCAAAACATTTACATAATTTCACTATCTGGTCAATGAGAGGGTGGTAAACCAGTTTCTAACTTTCAGAAAACATCGATAGGTAGGTATGTGGTCATGAGTTTGTCCATTTCACAATATTAGCAGTTAATGCACACTTTTTGAACAAAAATACAGGGGTGATTGTGTTGAAAACGTCTGATAGATTTCAAAGATGGTTCAGCATTTCAGCTACAAGCGAGGCTACAAAGCAGTGATTATAATGAGAGTTCACCATAACTTTTGCCATCTTAGTTCATCAAACAGTTGTATTATTTCATGTAACATTCAGTTTTCCATGTTTTCCCAGTTTTTTTGAAGGTCATGATTGTCTCGGTTTCAGGAAATCATTATGTATCTGGTAGATCTATCATAAGATTGGGTGGTAAACCCATTTGATGTCACTATACCTCGTGATATTTTGTTATGTTTTAATGATTACCTTGACAGTAAGGACTGCATTTGTATTGTGATAGTAAAGTTATCAAATAGGTAATCTAAACAAATAAACGTAAACAATAAATAGGACTATTTATATAACCAACAGAGGTTAACGAATTCCAATAGAAAAAACAAAATATACAGTTTTTATTGCATAAGTATGGCACAGTCGTAGTATTAATTATCGTATGAAATAATTATATCAATGATAGGTATACTCTATTTACATGAATGGGAAAACGTACCTACTCAAGTTTCGCCTTTTACAGA